TATATATATATATATTCTATTAATAGTATAAAATATGAATAAAATACAATGATCAATAACAAAAGATCGTACTCTCCTATGATGTTGTTGAAAAAATATGGTACTTGGTTTGACATAGTAAGATATTATAGCATTACCTCTATAGAACAACAGATTCAAAATTCACATAATTATGATTAGCATACAACGATAAAAAAGAAAGATCGTACTCTCTTATAGTTTAGATAAAAAATGATGTTATTTTCTGTGATATTGTTAGATGTTACAATATTACGAACAGCGAAATCAATATTTAAAGAAATAATTTATATCAATTTACCCAATATTTATATCACTAAATTTTAGAAAAAATATAATAATATCAGGTTTTGATGCGGAACGTTTTTTCATATTCTCCCACTAATATCAGTTTTAATTGCTGAACATTTTTTCATATCCTCCCACTCTTCTCATATTAAAATTAAAAAATAGTTGATGAATATAAAATAAAAAATGTCAATAAATTATTATAATTAAAAATAACAATATATATCATCTTTATTATATAAATAATTATATTGCAAAATGTTAATATTAATATAATTTGTACATCATCTTTATATTTTAAAAGTATAAGTTATGTTGATAATTTTTATCTTAAATAACTATTACAAAATAAAACATTACATACAAATCTTAGGGTGATTATTATCATTAAAAAAAGGGTCATTGTAACGTTTACATTGAGACATCTATTCTGGATCGTTGTGATTTTGAGTTATATTTAATAACTATTCATTATATGTAACTGATATTTAGTTACGTAAAATTTTAAAAAACAAATCAAAGCAAAAAACGTATAGTGGTCTACCGCTCGAACATTGTATTCATTACCCACTAAGAACTATATTTATTATTTGCTCTTTTCTCATTAATTCTAATTTATTGTATTAATACTTATGAATACGACGCTTCTCATGGAATGATGATTACACTTCCAATCAACAAAACACTAATGCTGTCCTCATGGAACGAAGATCATCGTTCATGTCCGCAAAGGTATCTATAGGTCACCCTTCTACCTCTTTCGTTTAGTTTACAGTGTTTATATTATATGCAAGTAATGTCTCTACAAAGAGCTTTTTTCAAGTTATTTTGTTTTTATGATTTAAAAAAAAAAGGGTTTGTGCTTTAGTATCACCGATGCAGAAATTAAGCACTCATCATCATTAATAATTTTTCCTAACGTTATGCTTTTTTTCTTGGTGGCCCTGTGATGTAGAATGTATGAGATGATGCAAAGACAAAATCTCTACCACCAATCCACTTATTAATACTGTTAGAGATTGTGAGTGTGTGTTTATATATCGATTCAGATCCCAATTTATATAAATATTTGGATGACATTTCTCTCTTCCATTGATTTTTCAATTCCATTGATTTTCTCCTTTGAAAAATCAAAATTAAAATCCTTATTTCGTTATAAGGAATAATTAGTAGTTTTCGGTTTCCAATTTTTTTTTTAAAAAATATTCTGACTGGACAGAAAGTATAATTATTTAAATTTTTTTATTTGATTTTAATTCAAATTCAATTTGATCTTGATCAAATAAAATGTTTGTATGTATATGTATATATATATGTGTATATATACACATGTATATACGTACATGGATATCTATATATGTATGTATATTTATGCATATTAATTTACGTGAATAAAATAATCCAGCCCGCTTATTTATACGCGGATCTCTATGTATATCAACTTTAGCCATTCTCACAACGGTTGCATCACATTCTAAATAGTTTTGATTTCATTTTCTCAATTATCTTTTAAATATATATATATATATATATATATATATATATATATATTTCTATGTATCAAATTATAACTACATTATTTAAGAATAATAATATTGTTATCATCATCATCATCATCATCATCATCATCATCATCATCATCATCATCATCATCATCATATGTATAAATTTAATATAACCGTATCGAATAAATCATTGATATCGAATTTCTAAATCTATTGTTATTCTCTCTCTGGTAGAATTTAAGGAAGAGAGAGTTACAAGGAGAAACATAATTTTTTGTTTTGTTAAATGGAATCTTCCCAACAATATGTTTTAAAAAAATAGTTGGAGAAAAATGAGTAACTTCGAAATCTGAGTTGGTACCTGGTTTCTTGATATTGGTCAAACAGTGCTTTCCCATACCACTTGACCACCCGCATCTGAGTTGTTCGTCTCTTAATAAAGTTAAGTGAAAATTTATGAATGTTGGAATTTGGATATGGATGGTTGTGTATTACGCGTAGACAATTGTTAGGATATTAGAGCAAGCTGGACAGTGCCAAAAGAAGAGATTGTCATTAGTCATTATCGTTTGAGCCGACGACGATCGTTCGACCCGCCTCCTTCTCTTCCATCATCATCCAGTGGCAGCATCCGACGGAAGAGGGAATAGAAATAACGAGAGGGGAAAGAGGATTGTAGGAGCGGAGAAACGACGATGGTTGATGATCGATGCATGGGAAGAAAGTTTCATGAATCGATGGCGGAGATCGTGAACAGAATTTGATCAAACAACATCTTAATAGTTTTAATGTCTAAGACGAGCTATTTCTAATCACATCATGCATCATTAAAAGTAAAGTATTTCTGTACCACTTCTTCTTATGATTAAATAGGTGTTTTGTTCGCCAACAAAGGATTGGGGGAGTTAGATCATGAGACCATATTCCTACTGGGTCTCCATTATTCGGGTACTTGGGAGTGCTTAGAAGAATAGTGTTTCTGACAACAATTATATATTTTAGATTGATTCCCTACAAACAATGCAAGGCCTTGGTGGAAGGGAGGTATGTGTCTCATATATATGTATGTGTTTATCTTGAAATAATTTTAAAATTATTTATTAGTGTGACATGTTAATTTATTTGATACATCATCGGTGTGACATGTTAATTTCAATTTTTTTGTTAGTTTTTTAAGATCTTGTATTTTGTAGAATTGTTTGGGTTTTTTTTTTATTTCCTTTGTATTGTGTATTATCATTATTCAATTTGACTCAATTTCTTCAGTAGACTCAATTTCTTCAGGAGGTGAGAAAGAGATATATCTTCGATATGTGACTTAACATTTCTATTTATTAGTCAAAATATTCATCACAGTTTTTTCTGGGTTCATGAAAAAGAGGGAAAAAAAAGTTATATCTTTGTTATTTGTAAATGTTTATTTATTACATTAAAGATTGTAAAATTATTCTTCCTTCTCATCGTAATACTAGATTAATAATTTTAAAAACTATAAATTTAATAATTTTAAAATATATTTTTTCTATAAAACAAAGTACAATGAAACGATATGAATACGTATATATTCATATGAAAATGTAACTTCATACTCTAATTAGAGTTTTTATCTTTTCTTAGTCAAACTATAAAAAAATAGAGCTTATAATTTTTTTTGTCAACTAAGTTTAATTATTTTATTTAAAATAAAGGAAAAATGACATTTTTCTATACGAATTTAGCAAAATGTGATCTTTTCATACATGTATTTTTAATATGACAAAACACTATACTTGAATTCAAAATTTCAAAATATCTACATGAATTGTTAAAATTAACAATAATTACATAAATAATCATCATTTTCATTAAAAAATTTCGATTCTATTGACTAATGAAGTGAAACTGACGTATATGGTAGTTACAGTAATTATCTAACTAATGCATTAGTTAACTCCCTAAAATAAATTAAAAAGTCTGATATTTTTATGGAAAAAAGTATAAATAAATGTATTAATATGAAAATTTACAAGTTAAGGATTTTTGGAGGACATTTTAGAAATTCGGTATTTTTCATAGAAGTTCGACCAATAATTTGAGTCACTGCAAGTAGAGGAAGCGTTCATGAGGTTAAGTAAGATGATCACAATATAAAATATGCATATATATGGAAGGAATTCGATATGAACTTTTAATATTGAGGGGTTATCTATAGTACAAGGTTGTACCTATCTAGGACGAGGCAAACAACGACAAAAGATAAAACTTTGTATTGTTTCAACATTCATCATGTGTCCTCCTACGTTGTATGCATGCTGGACTAGATGACCAAGTACCAAAAGTATCAAAACATAAATGAAAAGTACATTGGGTTTTATTTTCTGTATTTGGTATCTTATTTTTGTTCTTGGAGCAAGTAAGAAAAACTCGATACCTTAAGAGAGTAGCAAAAACCTCTTTACATTGTTATGTGGAATCCCATATGATAAAAATATCTACTGAAAGAATGCAATTTAATATAAAAACACTTTAAGACTAAAGGAGAGAAGAAAAAAAGATCGAACAGAATACTTACATGCATGACGTCGTGTACATTAATCCAGAATGCAACTTTCTCTTTATGTATCAACTTTGATAGATCAATACCTTTCAGTTTGTTAATAAACAGTTGTATGACATAACAAGTTGAAAAGAAAAATCTAAGGAAATTAAATAAAAAAATACAGAAATAGGTTTGTGTTAGATTTGAATGCATATTCATTCACTTTATTGTTAAAAATATATACAATTATATTAACAAACTTATTCAATATAAGAATAATTTATAATATAATAATACAATGAAATTTAAATACATATATATATATATAATAAATTTAATAATATATTTTTTGGAACATTTATATCAAAGATTATTTATAAGGAAAGATTAAACATTTTTTATTAAAAAAATTGAATAACCCGGTCTCTCCTAGTAAGTTTAATTATTTAGGTTTAGGGTTTAATTACCCTTTTGATTCGACTGTTGCCCAGTGCCGAGTCTCTTAGGCACGCAATTACAGGTTGCAGCGGTGTCTTCCACGTGGCGAGCCCTGTTCCATCTATCAAAGTCCCCAACCCTGAGGTAAGGACGCAAAATCTCATTGTTTTTAAATATGAGGCTATTTGTTTGTTTGTTTATCCCTCTCCTGTTGTCGGTTTTGTAGGTGGAGGTGATAGCTCCCGCAGTCAATGGCACACTGAACGTGCTTAAAGCATGTGTTGAAGCTAATATTAAGCGTGTCGTTTATGTGTCCTCAGTAGCTGCGGTTAGCCTTAACCCTCTGTGGACAAAGAATCAAGTGCTGGATGAGACATGTTGGTCTTGTTAATCGTCTCTCCTTCTCTCACTCTGCAATCTCACCAACAATGAAGTAATATTTCTGAGATAAATGAAGAAAGTTTTGTTCGAGAAAACTTCATTATATTATTTGATCAGATCTCCATCTTAAATAGCAAATTGCAAAACTGAAACAAATGGGAAAATAACAAACAAATAGAGATATGCGCTAATTGCCCGAGATTTATTCTTGACCACTTCATTCTCGGACTCTGTTGCAACTGTCACGTGTCCCTGCTTTGAACGTGTCTTCAGCTTCTGCCCTTCAGACATGATTACCACGTCATTCTCCTCCGTAATCTTGTCTCTTCCTTGTGTTGACGCATTTGATCCCGATCTTCTCCCGAAGCTCTTCGAATCTTCCACGTGACAATGGCTTCGTTAATAAATCTGCATATTGCTCCTCCGTTTTTACATACTCCATGCTTATGTCTCCTTTCTGCACACAATCCCGGATGAAATGATGCTTAACCTCGATGTGCTTGCTGCGACTATGATTCACTGGGTTTCTCGCGAGTGCTAGTGCAGATTTGTTGTCGATTCTCAATATGGTCTTCTCTGTCAAGTATTCGCCAAGCTCACCCAGGAATCTTCGTATCCACAATCCTTGACATGCTCCTCCTGTCGCTGCCACATACTCTGTTAGTAGTTACCTTATATTTAGGAGTATCTACACAAATTGATATGATGTATCTTTATATTTCCTATTCTTACTCTGATACAATTTGTATATAACCTCTTGTACGCTATTGCTAATAATGAATCAAGGAAATACATTCTCCAAACCTCTTATATGGTATCAAGAGCCTATATTGTCAAAAGACACTAATACCCCAAAAACCCTACTGTTCTTCTTCCTTGCTGCCGCCGCCGTCGACTTCAGTCATGGCCTCCGACGTCCCTTCGTCCTCCGACACCCTACCAAGTGACACAGTCACTCCACACAATACGGCAGATCCGGCCTCGACATTGATTAACGTCAACGTCTCTAATGTCTCTAAGCTCACGGGGACAAACTACATCACTTGGTGCATCCAAATCCAAACCCTCTTGGAAGGCTACAATCTCGACAATTACCTCGATTCGACATCTGCTCCATCAGCCACCGTCATCGTTAACAATACAGTCACACAAAATCCTGCCTACCCTCCATGGTATCGCCAAGATCGACTTGTTTTCTCGGCGCTACTTGGCTCTATCTCAGGGCCCTGTCAAGCACTTGTTGCAACATCTTCCACGTCGGCTGCTGCATGGAGAACACTGGCCGACACATATGGCCGCTCTAGCCGCGGTCATGTCAAGCAAATTAAGGAACAAATGAGACGCCACACCAAAGGAGCTAAATCGATGGACGAATACATGCATTTCTTCAAGATCAAGGCAGATGAACTTGCTTTACTTGGCAAGCCTATGGATCATGAAGACTTGGTAGACATCATTCTCGGCGGACTTGGCGATGAATATAAATCTGTCAAAGATGCGGTTCATGCTCGCGATACAACAATCTCATTTGTTGAACTCCACGAGAGACTTCTCTCCCATGATGTCGATCTGAATGTCTCGGCGCAGTCGGACTTTCCAATCTCGGCCAACACTGCTCGGACAACCTCTCGGCCTCCATGGCGTGCTCGCGGGGGACGCCACAACTCCTCCAACTTTACATCGCGCCACCCTCTATCGCAACATTCTGCCCCATCCTATCGGCCATCACCTCGGCCCTATCTCGGCAAATGTCAACTGTGCGGTGTACAGGGACACAGTGCTCGGACATGCCACATGCTTCATTCTCTGCCCTCTCGTCCATCGGACCAATACTCTGCCTCCGGCAATTCATCCTGGCAGCCGACTGCACATCATGCCTCAGCTTTGCAATCGCAGCCTTCCTCTCCTTGGTTGCTCGATTTCGGGGCATCGCATCATGTTACCTCGGACTTGGCTAATCTTGCTCTTCACACTCCGTATCAAGGTGGTGATGAAGTCGTCATTGGAGATGGTTCGGGGCTTGCGATCACACACACTGGTTCTTCGACTCTTCCCTCTATCTCTCACACACTTAAACTTGACAATGTCCTTTGTGTTCCATCTATGAACAAAAATCTCCTCTCTATCCATCAACTTTGTGTCTCTAATAATGTTTCCGTGGAATTTTTCTCCCGTTTCTTTCAGGTGAAGGATCTAAAAACGGGGGCAACACTAGCAACCGAGCCTCTTAATCATGGCGTATACGAATGGTCGACATGTCGTTCTTCTTATTGTTTACCCAATAAGCCATCGGCTCTTGCACTCTCAAGTGTTAAGACTTCTATCTCCGAGTGGCATTCTAGACTAGGTCATCCGTCTCGTGACGTTCTTGATTTTATTGTCTCCCATTTTTCACTTCCTTTGAGCTGTAATCCACGACGCCCAATGTCGTGTGAACCTTGCTATATTAATAAAAGCCATAAGTTATCCTTTTCAATCTCTTCAGCGTCTTCTTCACGACCTCTTGAACTCATTTATTCCGATGTTTGAACATCACCGATCACCTCATTTGACGGGTTCAAATACTATGTCATATTTGTTGATCACTTCACTAGATATACATGGCTCTATCCCCTACGTCAAAAATCTCATGTTGCCACGATTTTCCCTCGTTTTAAGAGTCTTGTCGAAAACCGTTTTCGGACAAAAATTGTCACATTTTTCTCCGATAACGGTGGGGAATATGTTGCTCTTCGAGACTACCTATCCACGCATGGTATATCTCATCACACATCCCCTCCCCATACTCCGGAACACAATGGAATTTCGGAGAGAAAACATCGACATATAGTTGAGACGGGCCTAACTCTTCTTTCCCGTGCCTCAATTCCAAACGACCTTTGGACCTATGCTCTTCCAACGGCGGTCTACTTAATAAACCGCCTTCCCTCTTCTGTTCTTAATGGTCGTTCTCCTTTCGAAACTCTCTTCGAAACCTCACCGAACTATTCTAAACTACGCATCTTTGGATGCTTATGTTTCCCTTGGCTTCGACCATACACACAACACAAACTCAACCCTCGTTCCGCTCCTTGTATCTTTGTCGGATATTCGCTCACTCAAAGCGTTTATCTTTGTCTTCACGTGGCAACATCCCGTTTATACATTTCTCGTCATGTTGAGTTCATTGAAACGGAATTCCCTTATTCCCGTCACCTCACGGACTCTCTCTCCACGTCCGAGAGCTCAACGTTCCCGTCTCCTCCTCTCTCGTCTACTCTTCCTTGTCGTTCGACCATTCGACGCCCCTCACCTGTGCCGGTGCTGCCCCCATCTCCAGATCCGACGCCTACTGAAACAACCAGTCCACCGTCTTCTCCACCTCAGCCAAACTCTTCGCCTTCATCATCTCCTCCTCCTACCTTACCACACACGTTACCGTCACCTCCACCACAACCTGATTCCGATGGCCACCAACCACCACTAAACACTCATCCCATGGTCACTCGATCCAAAAATCATATCTCCAAGCCAAATACCAAACTCACTCTAACCATTACCACTCAACCAAACCGAGACTTAGAGCCAACGTGTGCTTCGCAAGCCTTGAAAGATCCGAAATGGCGCTCGGCAATGGCTGAAGAATTCAATGCTCTCATTCGGAATGGCACTTGGAGTCTTGTGCCATCACATCCGTCCTATAATGTGATTGGTTGCAAGTGGGTTTTTCGGACTAAACGATTATCTGATGGATCTATTGACAGGTACAAAGCACGGCTCGTGGCCAAAGGCTTCCACCAACGTCCTGGACTTGACTACAATGACACCTTCAGCCCAGTCATAAAACACGCAACAATCCGTATCGTTCTTAGTCTTGCGGTCACTCGGGGATGGATCCTTCGACAACTTGATGTTAACAATGCCTTTCTACAAGGCACTCTTGATGAAGACGTCTATGTCTCTCAACCACCGGGCTTTATTGATCGTGATCAACCATCTTATGTGTGCAAGTTACACAAAGCGTTATACGGCCTCAAGCAAGCTCCGCGTGCATGGTACAACGAACTTTGTCGTCATCTCCTACAAACCGGGTTCACAAACTCACTCTCCGACACATCCTTATTCATCTTCAACCGAGATGACGTGATCCTATACGTGCTCGTCTATGTTGATGACATTATCATCACCGGAAACCAAAGTGAGGAAGTCCAAAAATGCATCGATACTATGGCTCGTCGTTTCTCCATCAAGGACATCGGGTCTCTATCATACTTCCTTGGCGTGGAAGTAACCAGGACGTCACATGGCATTCTTCTTTCTCAACGAAGATATGTTTCAGATCTACTCTCTCGACACTCTATGTCCGACGCAAATTCTGTACCCACGCCTCTTGCTTCGTCCTCCGCACTCAGCACACACATGGGAACACCGCTGCCTGATCCGACCGAGTATCGACAAGTATTGGGTGGCCTGCAATATCTACTATTCACACGTCCGGATATTGCCTTTGCTGTCAACAAATTAGCACAATACATGCATCGTCCAACATCGGAACACTGGAAAGCATTGAAACGTCTTCTCCGCTATCTCAATGGAACTCGAAACCAAGGTATATTTTTCTCTCGATTCACCCCGATATCACTCCATGCATTTTCCGATGCCGATTGGGGAGGTGATCGGGATGACTACTCCTCTACCGGTGCCTACATTGTCTACCTTGGTCGAAATCCAATTGCATGGTCCTCCAAGAAGCAACGTTTTGCCGCCAAGTCATCCACCGAGGCCGAGTACAAATCCGTATCCTCAACGGCCTCTGAGGTACAATGGGTTCTCTCTTTACTCTCGGAGCTTGGTGTCACAATTCCGTGTATGCCAACTATATATTGTGACAATGTTGGAGCTACATACCTTGCGGCAAACCCGGTTTTCCACTCGCGAATGAAGCATATTGCGATCGACTATCACTATATTCGTGGTCTTGTCCAAGCTCGGAAGCTTAGGGTCTCCCATGTATCTTCCGCGGATCAACTAGCGGACGCTCTCACCAAACCGCTACCTCGAAGTCGTTTTGAACTACTTCGAACCAAGATCGGCCTCGTTCCCGACACCGATCTTGCGGGGGCATGTTAGTAGTTACCTTATATTTAGGAGTATCTACACAAATTGATATGATGTATCTTTATATTTCCTATTCTTACTCTGATACAATTTGTATATAACATCTTGTACGCTATTGCTAATAATGAATCAAGGAAATACATTCTCCAAACCTCTTATATACTCAGCCTCACATGAAGACAGAGCCACCGTTTTCTGCTTCTTTGATAACCAAGTAACAAGACATTCTCCGAGAAAGTATATAACTCCGGTAGTGCTTTTCCTATCATCAATATCTCCTGCCAAGTCACTGTCACTATAGCCAACTAATCCAAAAGAAATTCCATCTTCCTCATACCTGCATCCATATGCAATGGTTCCTTTCACATAACGAAGTATCTGCTTCACTGCTTCAAAATGCTTCGTCGTCGGAGTTTCCATGAAACGACTGACAACTCCGACAGAGTACGCAATGTCTGGCCTGGTGTTCACAAGGTATCTCAGACTTCCAATGGCACTTCTGTACATCATGACATCCACCAGATTGCTCTCATCCTTTCTGCTCAGCTTGGTTCTTGGATCCATGGGAACTCGACATGGTTTGCAGTCTCTTAATCCGAGCTTCTCCAGAATTTTCTCTGCATATCCGGATTGACTTAGTGATATTCCAACAGTCTCCTGCAGAACTTCGATCCCAAGGTAATAGCTAAGAAAACCCAGATCACTCATCTCGAACATCCTCTTCATCTGCTCTTTGAACTCCGTCACCTTTTCAGGTTTCGATCCCATGATGATGAGATCATCAACATAAACCCCGACCACTTGTGTGTCCTCTTTCGAGATTTTCTTGTACACGGCATGTTCGAGCATGCATTTCTCGAACTTCAGCTCCTGGAGGCATCGGTCCAGTTTGGCATTCCAAGCTCTCGGCGCTTGTTTTAGACCATACAACGCCTTTTTTAACCTCAGCACTTTGTCCTTCTTTCCCGCTTCGATAAAACCCGGTGGTTGTGCCACATACACTTCTTCTTCTAGCTCTCCATTCAGAAAAGCTGATTTGACATCCATGTGATGAATTTTTCAGCCCTTTTGAGCTGCTAATGCGATCAAGATTCTCACTGTTTCAAGCCTTGCAACTGGTGCAAACACTTCTTCGTAATCTAACCCTTTTTTCTGCACATAACCTTTAGCCACTAATCTGGCTTTATGCTTGACAATATCTCCCTCTGGGTTTTTCTTGAGTTTAAAAACCCATTTCAAACTGATGGCTCGATGATTTGCTGGTAGTTCAGTTAACTCCCAGGTCTTATTTCGTTTTATGGCATCGAGTTCCTCTGTCATTGCCTTTTTCCAGCTCTCCTTTCGTGCAGCTTCCTCAAAATTCCTCGGTTCTTCCATCTCCATAAAGTACAGACTCGCATCCAGTTCTCTTTCGTGAGTTGCCCCATAAACTTCTTGTAGAGATCGATATCCCCTTGGCCCCTCTTCAATGGAAGTATCCGTTTCTGTCTCTGAGACATGCTCCGAGTCTGCTTCTGCTCCAGGTTGAGTCTCCACAGGGAACCTTTCTATTTCTTGAACTGCATTTTCAGTCTCCTCCTTGCTCACTGTCAGCTGTCCAGGTCTCGCTTCTGCATGTTCTTGCTGATTTTTCCAGTCCCACTCTTCATCTTCCTTCAGCACAACATCACGACTTACTACAATCTTGTTTGTTTTCGGATCCATCAGACGATACGCTTTTGATCCTGTCTCATAACCAATGAAGACGAGTCTTCTGCTTCTGTCTTCTAACTTTTTTAGATGTGGTTAGGTATTCTTTGCATACCCGATGCATCCAAAGATTCGAAGATGTTGAATCTTTGGAGTTCTTCCCCGCCATGCTTCATATGGTGTCATTCCGTCAACAGCCGCTGTTGGAGATCGATTCAGGATGTAAACTGCGGTCCTCGCTGCTTCAGCCCAATATACCGACGGCACGTTCTTGCTCTGCAGTAAGCACCTGACCATTTCTATCACGGTCTGATTTCTTCTCTCTACAACCCCGTTTTGTTGAGGAGAGTAGGGGGCTGTCAATTGTCTTTGTATTCCCTCTGTTTCACAAAATTTCGCGAATTCTTTCGATGTGAATTCACCTCCCCTATCTGATCTGAACAGCTTGATTCTCATCTCAGATTGTCTTTCTACTTCTGCTTTCACCTTTCTGAATGTTGTCAAGGCCTCACTCTTGTCTTTCAACAATTCTATCCACATGTATCGACTAAAGTCATCTACCAACAACAAAAAATACTTGTTACCTCCAAGAGTCGTTGGTGAAATGGGTCCGCAGATGTCTCCGTGGATAAGTTCCAGCGGTTTCTCGGCTCGATAATCAGATGATTTCGGGAACTTAGCACGATGTTGTTTACCAATTAAACAACCATCACACACTCGTTCTACCTGTTTTATTGTCGGTAGCCCTTTTACTAATTTCCCTTGCTGCAGCTTCTTCAACGCCATGAAATTCAGATGTCCGAACCGAGCATGCCAGAGCCAAGGTTTCTGATCAATGTTTGCTAGCAGACAGACAGGATGTGCGGTGTTCATCTCCAAGGAATAAAGCCGATTCTGAGCTCTTGGAATCCTGACAACCAGTCTCCCTCGTACATCAAACACACGTAAATTTCCCCCTTCTGCAACTATCTTGGCCCCTGATTCCTCCAGTTGGCCAAGGCTGATAATATTGCTTCGTAACTGTGGAATGTAATAGACATTTGCCATCGTCAAATGTTCGCCATTTTTGCACAGAAAGACTATTGATCCTTTGCCTTCGACTCTCACAACTGAGCCATCCCCAAATCGGACGTTTCCCTTTTGTTTCTCATCAAGGCTCGAGAAAGCATCTTTGTTCCCCGTCATGTGATTGCTAGCACCCGTGTCGTAATACCAGATCATTTCTCCAGCCTTCTTCTGATCTGAGCCTTGATTGGTTTGTTCCTCGTTCAACAAAACTTTCTCATTTCCAAGTTCAGTGGCATGAACCAACTCACTGATTTCTGCCATCAGGAGTGTTGGTTCTTCCTCTTCTTTCTCCACAAGGTGAACCTCTTCTTTCTTTTCACTCGCCTCGCAATCTGCTGCAAAATGCCCAAGTTCATTGCAGGCATAGCACCGAATCTTTGTGATATCGATTCTCTGATATTGATTTCCGTCCTCGTAGTTTCTTCCTCCACCATATCCTCTACCTCTGCCTCGTGAATTGAACCATCCTCTCCCACGGCCTCTTCCTCGTCCACGGCCGCGACTTCCTCCTTGATTTCTGAGCTGAGAGCTCTCACCCCCAATTTTCAAGTCACCACGAGCAAGCAACACTTGTTCTTCTCCTCTAGCATCTGGACCTTTCAAACGTTCCTCATGCACCTTCAATGTGCCGACAATTTCTTCAACACTCAATGTCGCCCAGTTGCCAAATTGCTCAATGTTTGATGTCAATGAGGCAAATTTCGTAGACACCGAACGCATGATTTTTTTCATAACGTAAACTTCTTCGATTGTCTCTCCAAGACTCCTCAGTTTGTTTACGATGACAGCAATTTTTCCTGCGTACTCATCAACCATCTCGCTGTCCTCCATTCTCATTCCTTCCAACTCCCATCTCAGTCCTTGTGCACGCACTTCTTTCACTCGATCAGCTCCGACGTGCATTTGTTTCAGAGCTTCCCAAAATTCTTTAGCAGAATTCTTTTCTCCAAGTTGCAGAATGAGATCTTCACTGATACCCTGGTAGATAGCAGCTAATGCCATCATCTCCTTCCTGGGATCGACTGGAGATGCAGCTTCCAATGCATCCCACACACCTTGGGCCTTCATGTAGACCCTCATCTTCAAAGCCCAGACCGCATAGTTCGTCTTCGTTAACTGCGGGTACTGCAACGTAACATTCCCTTCTCTCGTCGGTGGCTGAGTTTCTGCACTCGTGGTCTGACTCCCGCCGTCGCCACCGGTCGAACTCGCACCTGAATCTTGACGAGACATGTATTTTGGCATACAATCAACCGTGTGCTCTGATACCACGTGTTAATCGTCTCTCCTTCTCTCACTCTGCAATCTCACCAACAATGAAGTAATATTTCTGAGATAAATGAAGAAAGTTTTGTTCGAGAAAACTTCATTATATTATTTGATCAGATCTCCATCTTAAATAGCAAATTGCAAAACTGAAACAAATGGGAAAATAACAAACAAATAGAGATATGCGCTAATTGCCCGAGATTTATTCTTGACCACTTCATTCTCGGACTCTGTTGCAACTGTCACGTGTCCCTGCTTTGAACGTGTCTTCAGCTTCTGCCCTTCAGACATGATTACCACGTCAGGTCTGACCAAGAATACTGCCGAAAGACAGAGGTTGATCTGCATCTCTCTAGAGACAGCACCCGAGCTTTGTCTTGTGACCCCTTTTTGACATTTCTCTCATCCTTCCGGCAGAATTGGTACTGTCTATCAAAGACACAGGCAGAGAGTGAAGCTTTCGAGTTTGCAAAGAGATCTGGACTCGATCTTGTCAGCATCTGTCCTACCCTTGTCCTGGGGCCAATCCTGCAGCCCACTGTAAATGCCAGTACCCTAGTTCTCGTCAAGCTTCTGAAAAGGTATAAAAAAGCTTTGTAGTAGAATCTACGATCTTTATAGATATCATGATATGTCATTGATTTAGCTCGTGATTGTACATTATTCGATTTGTTTCTACCAGAGGGATTTGATACGCCGGAGAATCAAGAACGTCTTGTCGTAGACGTGCGTGATGTGGCGCAAGCTTTACTTTTGGTGTACGAGAAACCTGAAGCTGAAGGAAGATACATGTGCACATCCCACGCAGTGAAAGAGCAAGATATCGTTGAGAAATTGAAGAGCCGTTATCCGAACTACAACTACCCCAAGAGGTAAGGACATGAGCTTCATTGCGTCATGCCAATGCTGGAAATGTATAACCACGACTCATCACAAAGCCATGGGACCAGGCCTCGGATAAACCACCCGAGCGAAATCTTTCGTCGGATCTGAATGCTTTTCTATGCAATTGCTCTGACAGATACATTGAAGCTGAAGACAGTGAGGGTGAGCTCTGAGAAACTACTGAAGCTGGGTTGGAATTACCGATCGCTGGATGAAACTCTTGTCGATTCTGCTGACAGCTACCGGAAAGCTCAGATTTTGGACTGAGAACTGTTCCTCTGCATGAAGCTCCTCTCAGTTATGGTGTCAATGCCCTGTTCTGTGTTTGTAAGAGACAGAGGTTGTTCCTATGTTCTGCTTTTCTGTTGTCCGCAAGAAGATTATGTCCATATGCTCTTGGTACTTTCAGAAGTGGCAATAAAGGCGTCTTCTACTTTTCATTTTCTGCCTCTCCAACAATTCTTTCGCAAGCTGGTACAAATATGGATCGAAGATCGGAAATGGCTGAAGCCGAGGAAGGAAGGGTTTCTCGCTCTGTGGCTTGTCAAGCTTCGCCACGCGGCATCGATCTCTCTCTCCATGGAGTTGGTGATGCTATATATAGAATGGGTTTTATTAAATAGAAAAAAGGGGTAAGATTCAGGATTGATAATCTAAAGAACACACATGACAGAATAATTCGATAGATCCATTGAGATTTGAGAGTTTAGCCTCAAGAAACATAAATCTGTTCAGAGGCATCGGAGGAGATCCCATTGAGATGTTAGGCACAAACTAAACTATCGGGCGTAATTGCGTATGACATAAAAGTAGAGGGGCAGAAATGACATAATTGAGAGAAGTTCCTTACACGCACATGCATGCATGCGTGCGTACGTACATGCGGGTATGACAAAAAAGTAGGTAGAGTTTTTTTTTTGTTGAATAAAGTAGGTAGAGTTAACACTGATTACGGCAATACGCAGACAGACAGATTCGTATTTACCAAAAAGAACCCTTGGATGTCCCAAAAAGCGATGCACAAAAACTTGCCCAAGCAGCCATCATCTTCTTTAACCCCATAGATCGAAAACCCAGTTCACTCCAACATCTCTGTCTTCCACGAGAGACATTGCTTCAGCATCTTCCGGTCGCCACCTGCAGTAAGAATGTGGACTCCATTCATAACACAAAGCTTTTGCCAAACAGGGTTCTGTAAGAACGAAACATGTCTTCCATGTCTTACCTAATCGGTTCCCCATTGTGGACCACCAGATTCCGTCCACCTGCAATATCCCTGAGGGAACCCATGTTTGGGACATGAGCAATGGCTTGGAATGCGACAGAGCCACCACCTCTCACCCGGAACTCTCTAACTGTTCTGGCCATGCGGTCGTAGAAAACAAGCGACATCTTGCTCCATAACATCACCAAGCTCCCGTTCTCTAGCCATTTTAGAGGCCGAAAAAAGGACCCCATGAAGTTATAAATCGAGAACTGTGGTGTCCAGGACGTTTCGTCAGAGCGGTCCCTCAAGATCCAAACCTTGATGCGGTGCAAAACAAGCCCGGATACGCAGAGACACCCTCTGAGGGCTCCCAATGTCACCTTAGACTCTGCTGGACCATCGCCCATCCTCTCAAGTAGCTGGGGCGGCAACGGCAGATGATTGAATTTCTCCTCCTCGAAACCAAAACACAACAAAGAGAATTTAGCAACGGATCCATCTGGCTCACTTAGCCAGTGAATAACGCCGTTCAAATACACTGTATAAGTAGACCCTTCGTAGATCGTGTCCCATGGAGCTTGTCCAATGCTTCTCCAAGAATCACTGCCAAGAGTGCACACTTCAGCCACTCTGTCAAATGGGCTCAAAGGAGAAACTCCATGAAACAAACGGACAACTTTGTAGACATTGCTCCTCGCCCCACAGCCCAATCCCGAAACAATAGGCCAAGCTTTTATAGTGTTCTCCTTCTCTGGTTTCGGGATGAACGTAAACTCCCCTGTAAAAGGGTTCCACACAATACACGGATTCTTGCAAGAACTAAACATCGTAGCTTTACGTAAACACATGAATCCATTGCAGGAGTTTGCTATATCATAGTCGCGTTCTGCTGCCAACGGAGTTTTCATGTCTAATCGCCGCTTGGGTAGAGAAACCCTAAATCTAACATCCGTAGTTCCTCCTCGAAGAGGAGCAGAATCACAAAGTCCATGCAAATCCACGAAATGGAGATCCCTAGAGCCACGCATGGGAGAATCCGGTCGAAGGAATATCTCGAAATCGGATCTATCTAGACGAAGCGACATGAAATCAGGAGAGGAGGTCACAGAAAGCAGAACCTTAGACACGCATCGAGAGATGCACACGACCTTGAAAGAGAGCCTGGAGAGTATATCGGCGAGAATACTTGTCGGAAGCTGGAAGAGAAGACACGGGTCTCCCTGTTCTTCCTCCTCTACACGTTCAGACACCTCGCTGGCTTTGTCGTCCTCTTGCTCTGGGTTCTGTTCTGCTCGAGAAGTCTCGCCCCATGTGAACTCCGGTGCTTCAGTGATCCTTCGTCGTTTTAGTAAAATGGGTCGTCGGGAATTTTCGAGCTTTCTATTATGCAGGAGATAGCGGAAGAAGAAAGTCATGGCGGAGGAGGGGGGAAACTATTCGGCAATGGCGAGGGAGACGGGAGAAGACGCTTCGATTTTGCAGCGGTGATTTGTGGATTCACAACGGCGTCGTTATGGCTGACTTTATAAAAATAAATAAATAAATTTACAAACAAAAACAAAAAGGGTTTAATTTTAAATTGTTGGAGTTTTCCGGGCGTCAAAGAAAGTTTGAATCTTTCTCTGTCTGATGTCTAATGTCAAAGTTTTTGATCCATGAATAAATTTGTCTCAAGATTTGTTATATCAGAACGAATATGTAATTCATATGATGTATATTATGTGTATTATTTAAATTTTCAATCCCCGGATCCTTTTAAAAAAAATCTAGAATAACAGAGAAAAATCATAGCAAAAACATGAAAATATACAAAGAATTAGGAATATGAAATCTCTATTCTCTCTTTCAAAGTAAAAGTAGTTTAATTTTTTTTATACATTTAGAATTTTCCATTATTAAAAATAGAAAAATATAAAATACTCATACTGTTAGTTTTATATATAATTTTTAAAAAGAATATAACAAAATTACGCTTTTTTTTTTGTATTTGGGATAAGTTTATAGTTTTTTCTAGTAATAAATAATCTTGGAATCCTAAACCTATATTCTGTAAAACAAAAAAACCAAAGTCAAGAATTGAACATGATTAATAGATACAAATTAGATTTTAATAAGCCATATTGGCTGGCAATCATTTTTTTTTGTAATAGCATTGTTGGAAATCGATTTTCATTTGATATACGTTGAAAATTTTAACGGTATTTCAACGACAGATCCGCTGGAATATTTCGAACGATTTCAACTGATATAGGCGTAAAAAATGTTTTTTTTTTTTATTGTTGTGTTAACGAAAAATGTCAAACCCAATTTAAATTATATTTCATTTATTTATAAAATTAACAAAGTTTCAACCTTTGAGTACATGAAACCTGGACACTTTGTATATATTATTTTTTTAAATCTTAATTATATTTCATCAAATACCGTTAAAGTATATATAGGCAACTTCAAAAAAATCCATTGTAACACATTTGTGATGAAAATTATGCGACAGTTATGTCGTCGCAACGCTTTGCGATGGGTTACGACAAAAGACTTGCGTCGGAAAACTTTTCCGACTATATGCGACGAACTTTTCCCATCGCATGCTAGGTACACACGTCAAATTCGTTTCTATCGACAGGCGTTGTAACATAGTCTCAATTTCCATCGCAATGCTTTTTTCAATTCCGTGGTGTACTAGCCTTCGGATTAATCACGCTATCTTGAACTCACAAGAACACCGGTTTAGACCAAAACCGGTTCAGGTCAACCTAGGTCCGGTTTAGGACAATTGAGTCTGGTACATTGACCGGTTAGGTCTGATTAGTTGGGATTTGGCTAAAACGGGTTGGTTTAGGGGTTGGTTAAGTCTAGAATCACTAGGTATAGGTCTATAGGGGTCGGTTTAGATCAGGGCAGGTCTGTAGGGATTGGTTCTAGGCATTTATAGGGTCTGATCAGAGGGAAATTATGTCTCATTAGGCTTAGTTTAGGTCTGATTAGGGTGCTAAAAATCTAATCAGGGGTTGGTAAGTCAATAGGATTGGCTTAGGTTTGATTATTAGGACTTTTAGGTGATTGACTAGGACTTAGGGTAACTAATCAGGGGTTGGTTAGGTCAATTAGAGTTGGCTTAAGTCTGATTAGTTTTTTTCTGGTCTAGTTTGGGCTTTTGGTTGTCTAACTAGGGCTGTTAGGGTCTAGATAGCACTTGGGTAGGTCTGATTAGGACTTTGTGAGGGACCAGGTAGACTCGGGATCGTAGGACTGGTTAGGACTTTGTTGGGGACCATGTAGACTCGGTGTTATAGGTCTGATTAGACGTAATCAGGTCTGGTTAGCCTTAAGTTAGGTCCGGTTAGACGTAATCAGGTCTTAAGGTAGGTTGTGTTTCGAGTCAAATAGGTCGGTTAGGTAAAATTATGCCTAGGGTAAGCCCAATCAGGTTTGTGCGAGAGTCTAAGAGATCGGTTAGGTAGAAATATACCTTGTGTTAAGTCCAATCAGGTCTGGTCTAGAGTGTATTAGATCCGTTTAGGTAAGATGTACCTATGGTGATATCCAGTTAGACTTAGTTTAGAGTCCGTTAGATCGGGTTTAGGTTGAGTGCCTAGGTTAAGTCCAGTCAGGTTGTGTTCTCTAGGTCTTGTAGGTCTGATTAGGTAGAGACGTACCTAGGTTTAGGACCGATAGACTAGGGTCGAGCGTGTCAAGCATGGCTAGGTAGAAATATACCTAGGGTTAAGTCCTCTAGTGTTCGGTCTCATCCCTCGTGTCATGTTACATCACTTCTAGGGTCGGTTTTTAGACTTGTTTTATCGTCTTAGGATGATGGAGTTAGATATTCTAGCTCGGTATACCCCGAAAGGGGGTATGGTGGAAGGACTAGGGGTCTCGGGCAAATCCGAGAAATCGGGTGCAGGAGAAGGCCAAGGACCGAGGTGGAGTGATTGGTTCCGTGGGTAGGTAGGGACACTACAAGAAGGTGTTGTAGGTCTCGGATGACGAGGTAGGGAGAGTCCGAGGTAGAAGGACGTTTTGACCTCGGAGGAGTTAACCGAAGATGCTTCGGTTCTCGGTGGTAGGTCAGGAGGTGAGGTCTCCACATTTAGATGGAGCTTCCTCGGGTAGGATGCTCGGGAGATGATGTGAGCTGGGAGGTGTCGAGTCACCGGGTAGAGTCGGTGTAGGTTGAGCGCTAGGACACTCCCTCTCGAGGTGGAGCACGTGCACTCACGTGCCTCATTCTCGGTGGAACATCGTAGTTGACTAGGATCGTCTTTACGGGACAAAACCGTGGGACAATCTTAGTTGACAAGTTAGGGTCTGAGGGTAGAAGTCATATATCTATAGGTATGTAGACTCTACGGGGATCCTGGGCTAGGTATCTAGCGGGTTTCGGTAGTATGACTCAGGTTAAGTCTCGGGAGAAGTCGAGATAGACTTAGGAGACGGGTAGACGTCGGGTATAATCCTCGGGTTAGCTAGCGGGTATAGTCTTGGACTTTACTAGGAGGATTAGTTAGACGGTCTAGTGAGTCATACAACCGAGGGTAGCGTTTGTCGGTCGGGCAAAGCGTGTTCGGACTTCGGTTCGGGTTTTATCGGGTGAACGTTCTAACACGTTTACCAAGTGTTTCAGGTTTGGATAAGCAGGTCGGTGGCGGGATAAGGCGACAAGGCCTTGAGGAGTCATCGACGGGAGCTTCATCAGATTCAAGGCGACATGTGACTAACTCCGGGACATCAGGTAAGTGAGGTAAGTCAGGTAAGTTGCGTTTTAAATTCCGACGAAAGTCGATCGGTGCTGGAAACGGCGAATTCCACTAGTGTTTATTATTTGTTTTTATTCCGTATGTTCGTTCCTTTCTCCACCAAGGTGGAGATTGTTGGGCCCGCTCGGCCCAGCGGCCCAGTTGGTAAAAAAGGAACGACCCATTTAGCCGATATGATGCGTTTTGGAACTCAGGGTTAATGAACCCTAAACTTGGCGAGTATTCGTCGAGAATGACACGGTGCTCGAGAGAGAGAAGAGAAAGGGAATCGCAGAGGCGATCGTGAGGAAGAAAGGAGGATCGCGATGGCGGAGGAGTTTCCCGGCGGCAGCGAAGCTCGGACCGGTGGTGGTCACCAAAGGTGAGTCGCGGAGAAGGTCGGTAAGGGTCTCGTATCTCTCCTCTTGGTATTTCCTCGGTGAGCCTCCGACCTTGTGTGGATGGCCGTCGTGTTCTCTTCTTCGGTTGTTTCCGTCTGTTCTAGAGGATTCGCCGGCACCGTCCAACCGAGATGTAGGCCCGAGATTTATCTCGGTAACCGAACTCGTTAAAAGTCTCCGATGTTCTTTTCGATTCTTGCACGAACGAGTGACTGAGAGATGGTGAGGACTCGATACCACCTTCACACGTGGTGATAACGTCGCAAACATTCTTTAATAAAGTCCTGTCATCTCCATTTGTCAAGACAACACAAAATAAAAAACATCTCCTACAAAGAAAATATCTTTTCTTTGACGTTAGTGGATGTACGAAAATGATCTCATAAAAAAAAAAGTGGATGTACGAAAGAATTGATTTATCTACGAATCAAATATTGAAAGAATTAGAAGAAGAATTGCAAAATTTTATGGCGTTACAACAACTCAAACGTCATTCGTCAAGAGTTCTAAGTAACCATATCCATGTGTAAGGTGTGTTTCTCTTTCTTTATCATCAATCGAATCAAATGGAAATGGCGAAGTTTGAAATATGTGTGGAATCACCCTTATAGAAAAAAGTTTTATTCAAACTATTTCATCAGGTTTATACATGGCGAAACGTACGACACATCATGTCATACAAACCACAAGTTACGGAGTACCATAAGCAAAATATGACGGATCAACCAATATAATCAATAAGAGAAAGCTTAATATTATGTTACATAATGAGGTATTTATACAAGTGAGTGAACCTAATAGTATAAAAAAATACATATTTATCCCTCTATACGCCCTGTCAAGATGGAGAACCGGAGGTGAGTCCAATCTTGACAAATAAGTCATGAAACGGAAACCGCGACAATGCGTTTCGTGAGTGCATCAGCAAGCTGATTGGCATCCGGAACATGTGAGACACGCAGATCACTCGAGTCAACGAGATCTCGAACAAAGAAGTAATCAAGAGCGATGTGCTTCATACGGGAATGAAACACCAGATTCGCTGATAGATACGTAGCACCGATGTTATCACAATAGATGACTGGCGTTGTGTCGGAGGAAAAGATACTCAGCCTCAGTGTAAGAGCGGACTACATCGAATTACTTCTTCGATGACCAAGCAATAGGATGACCAACAAGGAAGACCGCGAAGGCGCCGATGGACTTGAAATCAAGTTGAAGAATGCATGCAATCACATAGGATTCTTGACGGACAGAAAAATGCCACAATCGCGAGTGCCCGCAAGATATCGCAAAACACGCTTAACGACTTGCCAATGTTGATCCGCCAGAGCATGCATGAATTGAGATAA